GGCACGCATTTTTGTGTTGTGTCAGGTCTTTTATGGACATCAGCCAAGTCAGGGCCCCCACCGCCGTCATGTGCTGCAGAGACGTACTCCGAGTGGCCCATGGGGAAGGGCCCTGAGAGCGCCTCTGTGCCGCGCTCAGGCTGCGGGTTCACTGCAGAGTTGATGTGAGCTAACATGCACTGAGGAGAGGTGTGCACGCCTTCAGAAATGCGACGCCGTTTGGGTGGAGGCTGCAGCTGGCGTGGGGAAACACATTTGTCCCCACTGCGGTCAGAAGAAGCAGAACACAACCTGGGCTGAAAGTGAAGTTTTCTTCTGGGCTCGGTCTGCTGAAATAAAATAATTTTTAGCTGCTGTGTCAAGCGAGCATTTTGTATGGTTTTTCGAGCTGCGGTGACGTTTAAAAACTTGTTTTGAGGTCATCGGCTCGTTTTGTGTGGAGGATGTGTGAAGAGAAGCTGCTGTGAGATCATTCGATCTAACAGTCAGGCTGGAATCAGAAGACACTTTATTCTCTGAATGATGTTTTCGTTTTATTTTAAAACTCATGTCATCATTACACACACACACACACACACACACACACACACACACACACACACACACACACACACACACACACACACACACACACACACACACACATCTTCCGCAAGGAGTCATTTCTTATATCTTCTTCCATGTGAGCTGGTTGTTCCAGGGCGGCGCCTGTTGGTGGTCTCTGGGGAAATGCTGAGCCGCTGGTTGCTGCAATGAGAAGGACTGTTCTCTGGTAGGAGGGGCCGGTGGTGGAGCGGGGCGGGAGGACGCTTCTGCAGCTGTGGAGCGTCTCTGCTGCTGCCTCCGGCCATGACGATCTCTCCAGCGGGCAGGGGGGCAGGAGGAGGAGTGCGGCTTCATTAGGTGGTGCACAGTCTCCGACACCTCCTCCGACTTCTTCGATTTTTCAAGCATGGCCTTGAAATTGGCACAGAACAGCGCATCTGTCGTGATGGGGCCCTCCAGCAGGTCTTTCTGCAGTTTCTCCGGCAAGGAGGGGGAGTGTCGGAACCAGGTGGACCTCTGGATCATTGTCATCCAGGCGGCGATGCGAGACAGGCAGACGGCAGAGGAGGTGCACAGGTTGAGGATTATGTCAGATGCTTTGCAGAGTGAGCTCTTCGTCTCCTCAGGCAGGTCTGTGTCCTCTACCTTTTGGAGATGCTATAGGCCAGCAGAGCGACATTGTTGTTCGCTGCGGCTGCCTGGAAAGCACATTGGTGGGCTCGGTTGGAGAGCGACATCACCGTCTAATCGTGTCTCCCTGGATGGACATGACGCTGGTCCAACCTGGACACTTTTGCCCCGAGTGCTTCCGCCAGGCTTGGCTTCGGGGGTGGGGGGGGGAGTACCGAGGGAAAATTCCGCTCAGTAAACCCCTCCACTCTGGTGATGGGAGCGAAGGTGGAGACGGGCGCTCTCAGTTTACCAGGTCCGGCTGCAGCCTCGTTCCAGTAGTACGTCACTGTTGGGAAACGAGGCCAGATGGGGTCAGGGTGGCGAGCCGGGGTGGAGCCAAACCTTCCCGCTAGATCATCCGATCTGGGCGGGGGGAGGAGAGGGACGGAAAGTCCCTTCATGTCAGCCGCCTCCTGGATTACGCCAGGCAGCTCCGCGAGGAGGGCACCAACAGCTGGGAGCAATGTGGTCGCTGATGCGGAAAGGCCCGGGGGGGGGGGGAGCATCCGCTTGCCCCCCCCCCGTTCCAACACTACGCTCTCCGGGAGGGAATGAGCTGTGGGGCTGCTGCTGACGTCGCCTGTCCTGGAGGAACCATCCGATTCGCTCCAAGACTCAGCTTCAAAGAAAGCAATGGCGTCATCCAGCAAACAGTCCCCCGCCACGGAGAGGCGCTCCTCGACATTAGCCTTGAACAAGGCTGCTCGCCTCTGCCTCTCCTCAGGAGGGAGGAGGTCACAGAGACAGCAGGAGGAGGCGAGGTCGGCATGGCAAGAATCCAGGCATCCTTCACAGGTGTCGTGCTGGTCGAAGCTCAGCATGTAGCCGGTCTTGCCAGACGGGCACAGGCAGATGGTGTTGGTGCTGGACATTGCGTTCTTGTGAAGATCAGTGCTGATTGCTTGCTGAAGAAAAATGGGAGCCGATTACCTGCTCTTAATGTAATTTATACGGACTGGGTGAGGCCCACACATAGGCGTCGCAACCATTATATGTGAAGGGGACAAATCCCCCCCACATTAAAAAATGTTCATTTGGACCCCCCCCCCCCCACTTTTACTATAAAACATTAGTTCAGGCGGCGCAGTTTCTCTTTCTTCGTGAACAAATCCGTTCCACTTGATTCATAGAATACTCAAACCACTAAAACTCCACTCCAGGTTTTCCTGGTTATCTCCAACTCTAAACACAGCAGCCTGTTGCCACGGTCACAATATACGGTGGTCACAGAATATGGTGTAACACCTGCAGTGTTTCTGTGCGTCTTCTCCTGCTTCGGCAGAAAACGCGCACAGGTGGAGGAAATGGAGACACCTGTATGTTACTTGCTCACTAGTTTAGCGAGCTTTGTGCAGGCATTTGTTGACCGGGGGGGGGGGGGGGGGTAGGTTGATCATAAACATATACATGTTAGGAGGATGTTTGAGAGGAGCTACATCTGTAGCATGTTATCTTAGCAGTAACTGTGAGGCTATAAGATGCTGCAGGTGTAAGAGACTCTGTGTGTTCAGGTGCATTAAAGTTGAAATGTCTTTAAACCCCCACACCTTATTGTCCTCAAGCTTCATGAGAAATATCATTTAGATGAGTAGTGTTGAACACAAGTAAAAAAGTCTAGTGGTGAAGTTTTTTATTTCGCAATAAACACAAATAGTGCCGATCTGATGCTCTGTACTAAAGTGTATTAAAGTTAAAACGTCTTTAAAACCCACAGCTGAATTTACACAAACTTGGTGAAAAACATGTTTTAAATGTGTGGAATTAAAGGAAATCTAGGTGAAATGTTGCTTTTTTGTACATTAGTGAACACCTTTTTTTTTAACGTGCGCACACATGCACGCGCACATTGTGTGCGCGCGCACACACACACATACACACATCATTGTGTCCCCCCACATTACGGATGCTTCTGACGCCCTTGGGCCCACACAACAGGTGGGCATGGACTAAAGTTTTCAGTGCTGCGCTTCGCGTGATGGGATAAAACCCACCAGCGACAGCCTTAAAGGGCGAAGCCTGTACGAAATAGAACTATTTTCATCCAGTGTTTCAGTAATCTTTCTCCAAGATCTTGCTTCAATGATGGCAGATTCTAACCACTGCACAAATTCTTCTCCAACACATCCCTAAGATTCTCAATGGGGTTAAGGTCTGGACTCTGTGGTGACCAATCCATGTGTGAAAATGATGTCTCATGCTCCCAGAACCACTCTTTCATAGTTCGAGCCTGATGAATCCTGGCTTTGTCATCTTGGAATATGACCGTGCCATCGGGGAAGAAAGAATCCATTGATGGAATAACCTGGTCATTCAGTATATTCAGGTCGTCAGCTGACCTCATTCTTTGAGCACATGCTGTTGCTGAACCTAGACCTGACAAACTGCAGCATCCCCAGATCATAGCACTGCCCCCACAGGCTTGTACAGTAGGCACTAAGCATGATGGGTGCATCACTTCACCTGCCTCTCTTCTTACCCTGATGCGCCCATCACTCTGGAACAGGGAAAAATTCTTAACCCAATTTTAGTAGTTTCTGCAATCTCCTTAGATGTTTTCTCTGCTTGATGCCAATGATTTGACCCTTCTCAAACAGACTGACATCTTTTCCACGACCACGCCATGTGTCTTTCAACATGGTTGTTTAAGAAATGAGAAGCAACTCATTGCACCAGTTGGGGTTAAATAACATGTTGCAGCTGAAAGATAATCGCCCATGCAGTAATTATCCAATTGGAGGTTCGTACCTGTTTGCTTAGTTAAATCCAGGTGGCAACTTTTTTTGGCCAGGCAGTGTACATTATGGTAGTAGCTTACAGCCATACCCAACATGTACTCAAGTGCTAACAGATCAAACAAGATCTGTTTTCAAAACTTTGACAATAACGCTTTAGAAACAACATGGTCTGTGAGCAAAATATCTTGTAAGCCATTGGAGGGAAGTCATTTCAATTTGACAGATATTCCCTCTAATTGATTTAATAAATGATTCAAGATTCAACTTGTCTGCTGGCCTCCTTAGATAGAGAACTTTATTAATTGGCTTTTATGTATGTGAATGTTCCTGTAAATGGAATGGACTGTACTTATATAGCGCCTTTCTATCTTATTTCAAGATACTCAAAGCGCTTTACATTACAATCTGTGTCCTCGTTTACCCATTCATACAGCACTCTACTAGATCTGTACAAAGCTAATTGAACAAATCATTCTAATGAGACTAATCAGAGCTTTATCACATTCATACACCGATGGGACACACATCAGAGGCAATGAGAGGTTCAATGTCTTGCCCAGGGACGCTTTGACATGTGACTGCTGGTGGATTCGAACCCCCAACTCTCGCATTGGAGGACGACTGCTCTAACCACTCATCCACAGCCGCCCCACAGTGCCCTGAGACAACTTTGTTGGATTTGGCGCTATATAAATAAACTGAATTGAATTGAAATGCAAATCCTTTAGTACTTCTTAAAATTTTTTTTATTTTATTTTATTTCGTCTTGCCAAAAATATGTAATTTTGAAAATGAGAGTTTTGGTACATATCTGTGATTTTTTATGTACAAATATAAACAATTAATGAAGCATCCTCTAAGAGTGGTGATTCTGTATTTTATGTCAGGGGTTATAAATGTTAAACAGCAAATCACAAACATTGGAAATAACTGCTTCTAATCTAGGTGCATAAACCCATTTTTCTTTCTGTTCATCTAATAAACGTAATACATTTTGTTGTTGAATGTCGTATTACATTTCTATAACTTCCTGTTTTTGTTTTTTAGGGCTACGTTGAGTTGGCCATTGTCCCCACAGTGGTAAACCTGAACAGGATCAAGCTGAACAGTAAACAGTGCCGCATCTACAGAGTCAGAGTCAATGAACTGGAAGCCCCCTTTATTTACAATGACCCCACGCTGGAGGTGTGCCACAATGAGTCCAAGCAGTAAGTGTACATGCATGTGCTACGTGCACATTTCAGATGTTCATGGTTTGTAGTGCAAATTCAAACTTGCTGTAAGACCAGTGATTCACAAACTGTGGAGTAGAGCCTGACCAATGTGGAAATCTTGGATATCGCCAATACTGATTTTGGGAGGGGAAGGCGACCGCCAATACCGATTTAATGGCTGAAAATCTTTGAGCTTTGTCCAACCTCAGGAATAAAAAAACAACCTGCAAATGGAGCGGGGCTTGTTCATTTAGCACAGCTGTTAGCAACCATGAAGCTAAGCTAATCAGATCCACCAGATACCTAGTCCCACAGTAGGTTTGCCAGTGGCGCACTGGTGATAAAAACAGTCACCCTAATGTGCGTTCACATTTTTTATCCTCCACTATTCAACATAAAGTTATCAAGAGTGTTACATAAATATAAATTAAACAAAGAAACATCCTTCCTGTTCATTGTTTAGTCAGTCAGTCACATATGGTGAAGGTCTAGTTACTACTGACCGCAGCAGAATTTATTTTCTTTGTAGAGAACTAAAGATTTCAGACAAACAATGAATTTCAGTTCAATTCAGTTCAATTCAGTTTATTTATATAGCGCCAAATAACAACAAAGTTGTCTCAGGGCACTTTACAGAAACATTCACATACATAAAAGCCAATTAGTAAAGTTCTCTATCTAAGGAATCCAGCAGACAAGTTGAATCTTGGCTTCGTTGCAGTCTCCCATCCTGAGCAAGCACAGTGGCAACAATGGAAAGGAAAATCTCCCTTTTAAAAGGAAGAAACCTCCAGCAGAACCAGGCTCAGGATTAGCGGCCATCTGCTTTGACTGGCTGGTTTGAGAGGACAGAAAGCAATTTTATTTCATTTAATTTCATTGAGGATGACAAAGATAACGTTACTAACACTGATATATTTTACTTTTACATTAGATTTATTGTTCTGGATAAAGTTTTACTAGGCCTATGCTAAATGTTAGCTTACTAAAATGAGAGATGCGTATCTAATGACCAGCATATTGGAGGATTGAAGATTGAGCATGCATCAGGATAGGATTGAAGATTATTTATTATTGTTGATTTGTTTACATATCAGTTAAAATAAACTTACCATGCTCTATTCAGCAAAACACACTACACAGTATTGCTCCTTGCTTCACCTGTGCTGAAAGTGAAACTTAAATGAACGGCAATGATTGAAAGTAGTCTTCCTGCCCCCTCTGCCAGATACTTTGTACAATTACACCTTTTACAAGTAAAGACACGGCTCATTCACAGCATTTTAGGGGTGAAAATTAGCTTATATCTGCGTATAATGGGACAATTATCACCGATACTGATAGAACCCCAAACATTTATCGGCCCAAATTATCAGGCCTAACAATACATTGGTCAGACTCTACTGTGGAGCATGATGTCATGACAGGATTCTGGATGTTCCCTCCTCTTATCACCTGCTGCCAAAAGGCAGAGGTGGAGGAACTCTGATTTTGCTTGTGTTCTTTTGTTTTTCTTTCAGCAAAATATCTCCTGATCCACTGGACAAATCTGAATGAAAGTGATCATTAGATGTGTAGTGAACCAGATAACCTCAAATCTACCAGATGGACAGAGACTGTTATTTTCATTGATCTGAATAAGTCTGAACCATCTGATGAACTTTCTTTCTTGAATTAATCAAGCAGAAAAGACAATTCTTTATAATCATTACTGTCTTACAAATGTTTTGATAATCAAATTGTGTTAGTTCACTCAATGCTTTACAGGTTGAAAAGAACTACTAATTTTTATTTTACATAAACAGTAAGTAATGATTTTTGTTCCTCATTCAGAGAAGAAATCACCTGAATATGCCTTTCTTGATTTTCTGTCTGAAATGAGCAAGCTGTCGTAAGTATGTTAAAGGTTGGTTTTCGGTCAACTAAAATGTTTACCGAGAAAAATGTCATGTTTTACTATTTGAAAAGATTACAAAGTGTGAGACTCCACGAAGTCTGCTGTTGCTGCAATAATCTTTTCTGTATGTTGTAAACAATCCTTGACTTATGATAACATCTTACGTCACAAATCCACTCCTCTTTCTGGTCCTTCCACGAATCAGAAAGCTCTAAATTGAACAGGAAGTCGACCCAAATAAAATGTGGCAACTTCTCAGTTCATGGGGAAGAGAAGAAAAGGAATAGAGAATTATGGATTCCAGAATTCCAAGAGAATGAGAGTTCTGAGAGATGTTGGAATGAGAGCTGACAACAGG